TAAAGCTATGTGACCCACTAACATTCATTACCTAAAGTTATAAACGTGGAGCTGCCATGAAAAATCTTTATAACAAGTTTTGCTTGTAAGTCACTGAATATATCCAATACCCAGGTATCAACTAAGAACATATTATACCTCTCTAGTATATTCACTTCATAAAAACATGTCAACATAGAAAACATTAGGTAACACTGAACATCTCTATCTGTGATTCTAATATGTCAGAGTAGTTACGCAAACCAAAAGTAGTAATATTATCATTTGAACTTATTTGAAAAAGCCTTGTACTTAAATTGTATTACCAGTGTTTACTGAAAATACATGTGTTCTATTACAAAATTAACTTAACCAAAAAAAAAAAAATACTCTACTTCCTCCCAGAGAATTATGCTGTGCTGATATCCTGTAGATAGTATTATAAAAGGATTTCATTTTTGCAATAGGCTGGGCTCACAGTGAGTATGTTAGTACAGAGATCATGTGTTTATAATATTACTGTAGGTATGTTATTAGTGAAATGTATGTAAGGCATGTAAAAATTTAGCATTAAAGCTCTTAAGGGCAATAACCCAAACTGGCAGCTGCTAGAAAAGGTGCTGCTAGGAATTAAAACTACAATGAAATGAATTAATTCGCATAAACTGTTGCTGAAACTAATAGACCAAAGGAGAATGGACTTTCATCCCTTTATCTAGTACTAGCCCAATCTTGAAAACGGAAGCAATCACTTGCAATCTTCCACACAGTGTTGTGAGGAGTAGTTTGAGCAGTCAACAGGAAATTCTGATTGAAGAAGTGCTGTCTGTTTCCATCAAACTTCACAGTTCCACTGGTCACAACAAGAACTGTAGTCTGGGACTGAGTAGCTTGCTCTTTACACACACACACACACACACACACACACACACACACACACGAGAGGTTAGTTTCTATATCTAAATAAGCAGATTTTCAGGCTTAAAAGACATTGCTCATAATTTAACACTTAAAAAGATTTCATAAATTTTCTTTACTTTCAGCATACTCTTAAGCATGTACACCCAAAGCCAAAAAACTAAATAATCATTTCAAAGATACTAAAATTATTTTCTGTTCAGAAAGATTCTGGGTACTCTAAAGTTTCAAAATAAAGAGCTTATATTTACTAATATTTCATTGGGTTTCTAAGAGAGCTTTTTTGTGTTTTGCTTAAGCTACAGCTGTCTAACTGTAAAGGAAAAAGAAATCACCCTAACCTACTAAAGAAAATTAGGAACCACCTAGAGGTTAATCTTATAAATGGCATCAGCCTATCTTAAATCTAATTCTGTGTTGCCAAAAATCCTTTCACGTAACAGAGTAAAGTTTCTTCTGTGAAATTTTAATAAATTGTAAGATAATAAAACATTAATTAGGGACATAATTTTTTGGAGACATTTCAAGGCATAGAAGGCAACTATTTAGAGAAAATAGATTATCTTTTCCCATAAATAAAAATCACATTTAGCTTCAATTTCTCACATAACTGTTAATAAACTATAATCACACAATCCACCAAAACATACTATTGATCTGTTGGAGTGAGACGGGTCTAAAAGGATACCAAAAGTTTAATTTGATAACTCAGTGCTAAAATAAAACAAAATAAACACCTCGAAAGACCTTGCTCTTACCATGAACTGGTTGGCAATCTAACATATTAACCTGGAATTCACTAGAAGGCAACACCTCAAAAAAATTAGTTAAGGCATCCAGCCCTGTAACAACATTTCCATTCCATATTAAAGTGGCCTTGTCCAGATACAGGCGGGTCAGTGCCTAAAGAAAAAGATAAAAGAAAAGCGAAAATAGTTTTGTTTCTGGGAAGGCATTTTAACAGAAATGAACTGAAAGGTTACATACAGGTAATATACAAACATTTTCATAGTTCTATCTCCATCTCTACTCCCCTGCCCCCTTGCACTGGAAAACATGAACAAGGTTTATTCTTAATAAACTAGGCAGCTAAATATACTTTTTTCATATTTTACTTTAGCCACAATGAGAAAACTTTGCATCCAAACTGGAAGAGTTTTAAAAATTTGCTTTCTATATTTAAATGAATTAAATGGTCACAAGTTTCAAGCACCTACAACCCAAACCAATTTTAGTCTCTCTTCTTTTTCTGAGAATTAACAAAGTTGTCTTCCATCAGGCCCTACCTGTACACTTTAATCCTAGTGTTCATATACATGGAGTCATTTCATGTCTGAGCCATTTAATGTTATGTTAGGAAGAATGGGTTGTTTTTACTACTCAAACAGCATATTTAATTCAAAGGAATCACCAGTACTTGCTAAAGCAGTTTTTTATAAGTCAAATTAAAGCTTCACTAAGGAAAAATTCAGTTAACTCTTTAGTCACAACAGTTTAGTGTGTCACAGGACTCATTATTTGCTTAATTCTAAAATTTATCTTGGAGTTAAAGGCCAACATATATCTCGACTCTGCCTTTTTTTTTTTGCTACTTTATTTTTGAAAGCAGGAAGGCACAATAAACATCCATTGTCACATCCCTTGTCCCTGGTCTCATGTCATAAAAAATCAGTACCAGGGATTATCTTCTGCCTTAAAAAATAAATTTTTAGCCAAAACCGGTTTGGCTCAGTGGGTAGAGCGTCGGCCTGCGGACTGAAAGGTCCCAGGTTCGATTCCGGTCAAGGGCATGTGCCTGGGTTGCGGGCACATCCCCAGTGGGGGGTGTGCAAGAGGCAGCAGATCGATGTTTCTCATCGATGTTTCTAACTCTCTATCCCTCTCCCTTCCTCTCTGTAAAAATCAATAAAATATATTTAAAAAATAAATAAATAAATAAATAAATTTTTAGATATATTAGCTTCTGTGCCTGCTAACTATTTTTGAGAAAGTTCTCTAAAATACAATCCTATACTGATAAGAGACCTAGGCAAGCTTGAAGCACATACTGAAACAATTACTTAGAAGATATGGCTCAGGGACAAATTACAATGAAAAAAGCTGACAAAGTGATGATAAGTTGTTCTTTTGAAGACTAAAAGTATCCAAGTCATGTGGATTATGCTTGTGAGTGCCAGCTACAGCTGTGAGATTTAATTTAAAAATTATCTATTAATATATTCCATTAAAGGGACAAATCCGGAACATTCCCTATAATGTCAGATTCCTTCACCAGCACTAATACTATTTTAACCAAACTGAAGTTAATTGGGACTGAGAAAATGTAACATATTTAAATAAATATATGTTGGGTCCTTTGTTAAGTGCAGTATTTAAATTCCCATTTATCACTCTAAAAATAAAATGAGGTTAAGAGAGGTTAGCAACTTGCCTAAGGTCAGAGATAGGTAAACACAAAGCTGATATATATACATATGTGTGTATATATATATAATCTTTACTGTTGAAAGTATCACAGCTGTCCCTTTTTTCCCATTGACCCCCTCCACTCCACTCCCACCCCGTCCCTAAGCCTTCATGGCACTATTGTCTGTGTCCATGGGCTATGCATGTATGCATATGAATTCTTAGGTTAATCTCTTCCCACCACTCCTTCCCTCTAAAATATGTCAGTCTGCTCAATATCAGAGTTATCACTTATGCAAGTCAGATGAATGGCTGGATGGAAAAATAATGGTATTTAATAAAGAGTAATATAGCTTATAACACTCACCCGTCTTCTTTTGTCCATTGTCTCATAGTAAATATTGACAAATTCCTCAGCAGCTCTACATGCCTGGTCTACATAAGTTTTAAAATCCTACAAGAAAAATTTTAGAAGTGTACATTACCATCCTTCCAAACGCTCACAAACACAAAATCATCAACAGAAGCTGATTTATTTCAATCACTTTGCAGCTCTGTACACAGTCCACATTCTTCCATATAAATGTTGGCATTTTAAAGGCTTAGGGCTCAAAAGTTTCCAATTTTTAAAATTTTCACTGTTTGGGTACATATATTTAGGACATACTCGTCTCTCATTAGTGCATTTGATACATTTTTTTCTCACTTCAAATATAAATTTATAATCTTAACTTGGAAACTAGTACTTCAGTACTTACTTTAGGCTTCCAATATTTTACAAAACATTCACCGTAATAAAAATGTTCCAGCCAGAAACTTTAAAAAAGTGGGGGTGGGAGAATTGCCACTGAATAAATTTGAAAAGTGCCGAGTTCTTTTTTCAAGAGAGAAGTTATAACCAAAATCGAGTTGTTGAATGAAAAAAAAAGTATAGTAACAATAAAGTTCAATTAACTACTTGAAAAATTAGGTACTTAGGAAACTTCCTCACATTACATAAAAATTTACCAGCATTTGTAAAGAATTGTAAAACCGAAAAAAAGAGAAATGTTGGGGTTTTCTCCTGCAAGGAAAAAAAAACAAAACCTTCCTCCCTAGCAATTTACCCAGCCCAGCCTACTATTTGAATTAAGAACTAGTTTCATTTCTAGCTCAGGTGATCAAAAGTTATATATAGAGAGCGGGAGATAATCCAAAAAGGAGTCTGCAAGCCACAAACCACAGACCCCAACATGCCCGCCTCTCGCTAGTTCCCATCTCAGGGTCCTTTCTGGCATCTTAAACAGATTGCACAGCCCCCGGGAATGGGGCGTCGGGAACTGGGGGTCCCAGGCAGCGGGGTGTAGGAATAGAGGGGGGTCTGGGGAGAGCGGGCCCCGCCCCGAGCCCGGCGGGCCAGCCCCTGATTCGCTACTTGATCACGTGATCTGTAGCCGCCCGCCGGCGACTCTCCCCTCAGCCGCCGGACTGCAGCGCTCAGGCACCTTGCCCAGGGTCCCGGCACTCACCACAGGCATGGCCATCGGGGAGCCTGCAGCAGCCTGAGGCAGTGGCGGCGTCACTACTTCCTCACGTGTCCGGCTGCCGCTGCTGTAGGAGGACCAAATATTAAGGAAGATAGTGAAACCCGCCAAACATACGGAATTCTTTCTCTGCCCATTCGCTCCCGGAAGTATTTCAGTACGTTTTTAAAAGTATCCAACCTTAAGCCGCTTCCCTTCAGTTCCGACTGTACCCTCCCAATCGCCTAAGGTATTCACTTGTTTGATATTTACTGAGTTTGGGAGAAAAAAAGTCACTTTGCTTTTGTAAACTAGATACTCAAATATTGCCACTTTTCCTACCGTAGGCGCGGAGACAAGCAAAAAGAACTAAGATCCGACAGGGGGAACCTCTTTGCTTTAAGAGGCGGGACTAAGGCTAGCTGAAGACCAATGAGAAACCGAGGAAAGACATACAGGACCTGTAGCCTATAGGAAAAATGGGTGGAACTTGAAGCGTGCGCGCGCAATCATACTGCGCATGACTGGCAAAGAAAGTTTTAGAGTTCTGGAACAATCTGGAAGAATCGATCCTCGTATTGAAATCCAACATCTCCGTAGTACTCCTATGATAACTCACTGTTTGAATTTGCTCACTATTTGAATTTGCACTATTCAGTGGAAAGGCTCATCCAGTTCTCCCATTCTTATAGACCTAAAATGAAGATTAGTCGACTGCGCAATTCACCACCTTCCACAGCCGATTCGCTAACAGTTAAAATATATTGAATGGTGACAGACAACGAGCAAGGTAATTTTCTAAGCATTTTAACCCGTATTTACTTGTTCAGTTACAGTAACACTATGGCGTATTATCTCCATTTTATAGTTAAGACATTAATTAAGTAACCGGCTTCAGGTCATAAACTAGTTGGAATTAAAACTTAAGCTAACTTAACTTCCTCTGCAAACGTACTTTACTCCCCAGCATCCTTTAAAACGGCCCATGTCAAAGCTGCCAACAACTTCTGGGGGTTCAAATCAATTAAGTATCTCTATATATAGTCTTACCTTGAGTAACTGGTTTGTGGCTGCTCATAATAACGATCATGGTCGCGGGAACGGTAATGACTACGCTCACGCTCCCGCTCCTGCTCCCGGTCAGGGCCATAGTCGCGGCCTTGACTATAGTCACGGCCACGACCATAGTCACGGCCACGACCATAGCCACGGCCACGACCATAGCCACGGCCACGACCATAGCCACGGTAACTCCTTCCTCGATATCCTCCTCTGTCTCTTTGATACCAGCCTCTTCCAAATCGTCTCATATTCTTGACCTTTTTTTCCCACCCCGTTTGTCTTTCTTTTGCCTAGTTCTAACTGCCGCTTTTCTCTGACTACCTTCTCTGCTCCGAACTCCTCTCCAACGGCTCTTCTGGACGTGTCTCCTACTTAAAGCCGCAGTACTCTCACGTGATGTGGATCGTTACTTGTATGCTAATGAGTCTCAACGACACATCTCGAGCCCCCACCTCCGTCCACTCTGCACTCCGATTCCACATATGGCTATGAACACCACAAGACACTACAGGCTTCTCAAACTTGTAGAGTCCAGAATTTAAACTCATTATTTCCTCTGTACTAACAATCTTATGTATTTTTTCTGTCATTTATGCTTGTATTCTTGGGATATTTTTGATTCCCCCTCTCCCC